AACATGAAGGGTCACTACAAGAGCTTAAGGTATTAGCATATGCTTAGGTGTCACTGCTACTGTGGTAGCCCAAGCGCAGTGGTATAACAATGACTGAAACTAACTAGCCATTTAACAACAACAGCAACTACTGTGTCCAAAAACTTTTGTTTCTGCTTTCCAAACAAAAACAGACTAAATGGATCTGTTCAAATTCTCAGTCTTTGACTGGGTTTTGAAAATCCTCTCTGGCGGTTACCTAAACATTTGTATACAATAAAGTCTGAAAGCTAAAATGCAGGAAATGGTGAAATTACTTTTTTTTAAAATATTCTAATGTTGTACACTCTGAATTAATTATGAACAATTTCACGTATAAAAGATAAAAATTGGATGCATGTTACAGTAGCCAGAGTTTGTATGTTGTTATTGAATTTTATATATATGACTATATGGACATGATAACTTTGACTTTTGACCCAACGGTTGAGAACCACTGCTCTAAATGATATAGATATAAATAAAGTTTAATTAAACTAGTATCTTCTAAACGTTATAGATATAGTATATTGTATATTGTTTACTTTACCATTTAAGAACCACTGTTCTGAATTATATATATATATATAAAAACATATAATTTACTAAGACTAGTGTCTTCTAAACGATATAGTTTACTAAGACTAGTATTTTTTAAACAATATAGTCATAAATATAGTTTACGGAGACAAGTATCTTCTAAATGATATGAATATAGTTTACTTAGACAATTATCTTCTAAAGATAAAGATATAGTTTACTTAGACGAGTACCTTCTAAATGATATACATATAGATATTGTTTACTTTGACAAGTATCTTTAAAATGATATAGTTTACCTAGATGAGTATCTTCTAAATGATATAGATATATTTTACTTAAATGAGTATTTTCTAAATGATATGGATATAGATATAGTTTACTTTAACAAGTATCTTCTGAAAAGATGATTTGAAATGTATGGCTTGTTTATTTTTATAGCCGCACATTTACTTATGCAGGTAAATGAATACCGTACACCCCCACAGCTCTCTTGAAAGACAACGTGTAACTCAAACACTTCTGCTGTGTAAGAATATGTTATTTGATGTATTTCTCAACTGATCGTAATTTAAAGAGAACGACTGTTTAACAGCTGTGTTTACACTGAAAAAAATACCAGCTTTAGATAATAGTTACAAGCACATATTGCGAAGTGTCTCTTGGTCTCCGTATCAGGGTAAACAAGCTGTCAATCATGTGGGAAGGAGCTGGAATCAAACTGATTTCTGTTGTATGAGTCGAACCTCATCGTTACCATTTGAATGTCTGCGTCTGAAAAAAATCCCATCATAGCTGCAAACTCCGTCAAACTGGTTAAACCTGAAAACACACCTGCCCCGTTCTTCTGGCTGAGGTTGACACCTTTTGTTGTTCAGACCGTGTGAGTGTGTGTGACGGTGAAGGTGTGTTACAGCTCTTCTCTACTAAACCAAGAGGAAAGATTTGAACCGACAGAGAGGTGACTCTGAAGCAAAGGGTAAGACCATTACTGTTTTTTTCCCCTCCTCTTAATGGCTGTCTCTCACTTCCTTTCCGAGTCGCTTTTCCGAGCCTGATGGAATTTCATTACTTATGATTGAAAACCAATAGAGTTTTGAAAGCACAATGAGATGGAAAGGTGCACCCAAAAACGCTTGTGTGTCCTCCAGATGCCGGCAATCTAATTTACTGTCAGCGGTAATAAACGAGGAGCCACCGGATGGCACAGATAAGATGTTATTTCACCATCAGGGTTATCACTTAATATCTGATAATGTCTGTGGGGAGCAATTGTATCCGCCGCTTAAAACAGGGGGGCCGAGCGCCTGGCAGGAGAAATGATCATGGCGGCGGAAGAATTGTTAATCTGTCAAATCAATGTGACTTCACTCAATAAAGCGCTCGTAAAGGGACTTAAGTTTAGACTGCAGTGTTAATGATTCACTTTGGTGGGAGATGATGTCTCTTTAATGAAACTGAGCGCTTCTACACGCGAAGAGTTGCTCTTTGCTCCTTTGCTTTAAAGATATTTGGATTTACTTGAGGGCGTCACTCTGCTTGAGCCGTCAACTACCAACATGTTTACAAGTCAAACACGACCAAACATGACACTTTCTCCTGTTGCAGCGGCTACGTTTCTTGTAAATCAGGTAAAGCGACTGTGGAGGACGGAGGAGTTTCAGTAAATCAGTTAGCAGGGACGTGTTTTCTTTGGTTTCTTTCTCTTTGGTGAAAAAATAACCCTATATGCTTGTTTATGAGAGATGAGACCTCTGTGGATGTTCTAACTTCAAGTAAACACTGTGTGAACAATTAATAGTAAGGCGATCCTGACCTAAATACAAGCCTTGAACATGAAAACAAGCTAGCAGCAGTTTAGCTAGCCCCTCCCAACTCATTTCTCTCCTGATCTCTCCTGAAAAGTGTCAGAGATAAACAAACATCACACACAGAGATGGGGGGATGCCTCTAAATCCTGACCTAATCGAGGCAGCTCATCTACTACAACTTCTGATTCTTGTGCGATCTGTAAACATAAGATAAAACTTTAATTAGCATCGACTCAGCTAGCTAACTAACTCCTGTTTATCAGGGCTCTCAAGTCTCACGTAACTGGGCGAGTGACACACGCACTCCCACCCGTTCATACGCCACATGTTGTATTTCTTACGCATTTAAATGACCACAGTGACGTCGCCCATGTTGCACCTTTTTTACAATGGAACAGGTAGGAATCATGTAAGTTCCAGCAGCTGCGTGCCACGGGCAAACAAATCAAATAAAGTAGTATCTCATGGCATATAAGACTCATATGATAAACCAAAGTCCTATTCTATTGCTATTAACAGCTGCATTAATGGATTTAGCCTCTGTACAGCCATTTCCAGCAATTTTCCGGCGATTCCCTCAAAGTCCATCTGTTTTTTTTTCCATAGAAAAAATGCACTTCTCATATATTCTTCTTAAAGTTCTGATACTCATGACAATGTAATGCTAACGTACCAAAAGATTAAGTATCTCCATGTTTGTGAAACCTATACTGAAGTACAATTCACGTAAAAGCCCCACAGCCCTCATTTCAACAACTCTCCTCCACAACAGGGAACTTAACATTAATTTATACCTAAATTCTCTTAGTAATCTTGACCTTTTAAAAATGTTTTTTTTTTCTTAATGTGGCCCCTATAGTCCGTTGTATTTATTAGATTATTATACTAATAATTATCTTTAATTACTCTTCACCCTTGTCCCCCCATCTCACTCCAAGCTTAGTTCAAAACTTGAGAGCCCTGTGTTTATATTAAAAAACAGCTTTAAAAAAAAAACTGCTCCTGTTTTATCTACTTTTAAACGCAGTTCATTAAGCCCTGAAGTGGTGACACTTTGCACAAGAATGGCTTTGGGTTCGAGTGATAGGGAACCGCAACATGGAAGCCGATTGGAAATAAAAGTCTGAAGAAACTCCGGCTATTATAGCAAACATTTTCACCAAAAGTGAGGAAGAAAAAACGACTTAAAGCGAATCAATTGACTCACTATCTACTAAAACTGTGTCTAAAAATACATGACACAACTCCATCTAAACTATGAACTGTTGAACTTGCTAATTTTTCAAGCCTCCATTCAGTGTCTCATCTGTGGGGTTGTGTATTTTTGGCTCTGTGAATAATTATGAAGCTGATAAAAGTAAAGCATAAGGCTTACAAGGAAGTCCTGTTACTCTGACGTTTATGCAAATTTATCTTTTGTGCTATCGCATGATCTTAAAATGTGTGTGTGTGTTGGTTTGTAGTCACTGGGACAGGAATGTTACCCGGGTAGTGGCAAACATTCCTGAAACTAAAATGAGATGGAGGTGATTAAATAGAAAAAATACACCCAGCTTGGAGAGGATGAATCACAGCACATACTGACTCGGCAGCAGCAGAGGCAGCAGCAGCCAAGTCACCAAAGAAAAGAAAAACATTCACAGCATTGTGACAGACTCGGCACACTGATGTAGTTATCATAAGCACAGCTTGTTTGTGAAGCAGGACTACATTAGTGGTGATCTGAACTTGACTGACATTAAAATATTTTCTCACACCAGAGAGAGACGCCATAAAATGTACAGTACCCTCTCTGAACTTTGTCCCAGGTGTAAGGTTGCAACAGGAAGTGTTGTTCATAGACTATCCCTAGTTGCTGGAAATAAATGCATCTCTATATTGTGGGAAAGTGAAAACCCACCAACTGCCTCAATGTGGCTTAAGGAAGTTGCCTCATACATGTCCTCTGAAAAAAATATGTTCAATAACAAAAAGAAACCCCATCTTTTTCACAAATGCTGGAATGACTAAAAAATATCTGTAACACTAAAAGAGTACTGTCAATGGTGTGGTGGTGGTTGTTGGTTGGAGCACATTTGCAGGTGTAGCTGTGCTTTTCCATTGTCAATGTCTTCACCTTTGCTGCATGTATTTTGCTGTATTTTTTCATTTTTTTATTTTATTTATTTTTCTTTATTATATATATTTATGTTATATTTATTATATATTATATATTTATTTATTTTTATTTATTTTTTTATTATCATTTGAACTATTATTATTGTTATTATTTTTAATTTATTTTTTCCTTTATTTATTCACATTTATATTTTATATTTTATATTATTATTATTACTGTTATTAATAATAATAATAATATTATTATTATTATTGTTATTTATTTATTTATTTATTTTATTAATTTTTTTATTTGGGATGTAGGTAAGAGTTGGCCTACGGGGTTTGTTCTCAGAGGGGTGCGGGTTTGGGTGAAATTTGTAGTTCTATTGTTGTTTTAAAAGTTGTATACTGTTTATGAAAAAATGTTAATAAAAATACATATACATTTTCTTTCCTTGCACAGATCTGATCCATCTGCCCTCAAAGGTCATCCAATTATTCGCCCTTAAGAAGAAAAAAAAACACATCACCATGGGAAGAGGTGAGAGCGAGGTGTGGGACGAAAAGCACGTGGACACAATACAGGATCAGCCTAAGAAAGTCGATGAGGAGGAGGACACAAGGAGTGGAGACTCAGGGAGCAAGTGCCCGAAATGCTGCTTGAAGACGAGGGACTGCCTGATGAGTCCGGAGTGTGGACGGGCGCTCCAGATCTCCAGTGTCATCGCCTTCTGTGGGATGTGTATCCGCATGTTTGTTTGTAAGTCTTCAAACCTGTTCGCTAAAATACTAGCACTAAAGCTGCAGTTCATGAGTTTCTGAGAAGACAGATAGATGACATCTGGCTGATCCACTCCAAGCCCTTTAACTCTCAGCTTCTCCTGCAAAGCTCGCGCCTCAAATACATAATTCTCAGCCGCTGTGCTAAGTTATCCTCCATTTTCTTGGTAGCTCCCTTATCTTGTCTCAAACTTTCAACATCTTACTCTCATTACATGGACAGTGATTAGCAGTGATGCTGCATGCACTCACTCTTCATGTCTCACATTAAAGATAAAGCCCTATGGTTATCGTGATGGCAAACGCACATGTGCTACACGAAAAAAGAGTGAGTCGAGGCCTGAGGGTGCAAATTAATGCTCTTCAGACCTAAAACACAGTAGCTATGAACATGCAGAACCATTTAAATGTGCATTTTTATCATAGCTGATTTATTGTACCTGAAATCAAATGAAATGCTAACCTCTATCTTACACAGATGTGATGCACTTAAAGTCGCAAATAGTTTGTGAAATGGTCACCTTTTTGACTAATACAATTATTTGCATTTAAAAGACAGCTACTTAAGATAAGATATGCATTTTCACCTTTTCGGTGCTTAACTTTAAACTCTTGCTCAGTGATGGTCCGCCAAACTTCTCGGCGGAGTTGCAGCGCCCTCTAATGACCAGCCCCCTTCTTGAATTGACTGTCATTTCAAATCTTTATCAAGCGCTTTAAACAGCTTTGTTAAAAAAGAGGATGAGCCTCTCCTTTTGGTCACTTTTTAATCTTTCTGTTTTGTTTTGTTTCTGATCGTAGAGCCCCGCTTTGGACCTCCGGACCTGCTTTTGCCGACCATGGTGAATGTCAGCTCCCTTCCTGGTTTTTCTTGACTCTGCACCTTAATGTCTTTTTAAATCTCATGCTCCTGTAATTTATTGAAGACAAATACTTTGAAGAAAATCATTGTGAAGGTCTATAACCTAAGGTTTCTGTGCAAAAAAAAGTTGATTTTGGAGCATATTTGACTTCACTTAAATTGTTTTTTTAGGTCTTAAATAATTTAGAGTAACTGAAATGTTAAATGTATAAATAAAACAATTAAAACTGACACTGGGTAAAGAATAAATTCATGGATCAAATTCAGGAACAGAAAGAAATGAGTTAAGTCCAAAGTGAACTCAAACTTTAAAAAAAATCTGTCAGCACTACTCTGATACAAGGTTAAAAGCAGGTCCGACACTACTATTGATGGACACTTGTAATTAAATAGAAGGATGCAGCATGATGTAACTTAATGACATCCTTCCCTGTCAACAGCTTCTTCAAGGACGTCTGAAAAGAGAGGCTGACTGCAAACACAAAAGCAGGCAAACACAAGATGTTCTTCTCATGTAATCTTGTAAAACTCAGAATGTAGCAGACATTATGGACTCACAGATTATACCCCAAGAAACAAACGCTTAAAAGTATATCTGATTTAGAGGAAACGTTTGGTCACTTTGTACAGTATGAGCAACCGCAGCGGGTCTTAGGAGACATGTTCTTTTGTAAAACCGCTTGACATCTATGTAATCCACTACGATGGAGCATGGGTGGACTGCAGAGGTTAGGGGCCATTGTGGAGAGCGGCAAAAAAACATGATTGAAAGAAATGTCCTGTACCCGGGAATGTGAAAGGAACTAATTCATACCTTGCTGCTCAAATTACAGCCATGCTGAGATTTAAGACCCCATGCTGGCATCTGTGCTCCTTGTTCAGAACAAGGAACAGGGAGTTATGAGAAAAGTTTCTCATATAGGACAGATGCATGGTTATTTAGTAGGTTTCCAACATGAGCTGACAGGGGACAGAGCCGCCACCCGGGGTTCAGGCAATTACTAGCTGTGACATTTTACTGAAGTTGCGTTTGTACTGCAAAAATTCTCCTCAGGGACTAGGAACTTTTAGGTAAATACCCTGGAATTATAACTTTGTACCCTAATATGTCATATCTTGTTTTTTATTTCTTAAAATTTACTTGAGTGAAGTTAGATATCAATATCTAGGTCCAAGCTCTTTAACTCTCATTTCTCCTGCAAAGATCTCATCTTAAATGCGTTTTCTTCTCCGAGTCTTCAGACCTGAATCAAAACAACAAACTGGAAGAACCTTGTGGTCCCTTTAGAAGAAATTTAGGCTGACAGTTCTGGGTATTTTGGTGGAAATGTGCCTTTTGTCTAACATGTAGCCCTCTAATGCCTGACACCACAAAAATGGCCAGAAAGTTCAAATTTTTTAGAGCTGAAATATTATTTTTTTTTTTTAGTACTGAAAACCAAAAAATCTAAATGTCCTTAAAATTTAACAAATATGTTTATTTATCTTGTTTGATACATTAGATGTTTTTGGAAACTAATAAACTACAAGAGGACATTTTTATCATTTATCTGACTGTATTCAGTTTTTTTTTAGTAATTTGTTGATCATATTGATTTGATATAAGTATATAAAAGTATGTATCAAATATGATACAAAAGGCACGACAAGTTTTAAGGTAGAAACAAATATTTGAAATGCGTTCAATGATGTAAAAACTGAAATTTTATTCTAGACAGACAACTAAAAATCAAAGAAGTAGCTTCTGCTTTCATGAATAAAAGGATAAAAGGACAAGATGGCTGTGAGAAAACATCGAGGTTGAAAAACTGTTCTGAAAGAAGGTCAACAATCGGTCAGGGGAACCTTTGAGACCCTTGGAGAGGAGCTCTTGGGACCAAAAGTACCCGCCACTTTTGGTGGAAACACATCTTCTGTCCGACCCTGAGGGGACTAAGAGCTAAACTCCTCATGGATCCAAGTTCTCCTAACAGATGTGATTATGAATCGCAGAAGGCCGATGATACAATTACACGCTGTAGTCAACGGTTCAATATTTTCAAGGTGTGGATTATGTCAAAGTGGGCAACGATTTAACAGCCACTTAACCTCACGGTGGTAACAGTTTTATTCACGAGCGTTAAAAAATATAAGGCATTTGATTTGAAGTGAAGACACATGAAGCAACAGAGCGCCGACGAATTTTTCATACTGTTAAAAACTGAAAAGAAAAGACAAATAGAAGTAAATGTGGTGCAGAGGGAGGAAGGCTTTTAAAAAGACTTGATTGAGAATGAAAGTGGCTTTTGAGCATTTCTTTGCCGTGTCTGAAGAGTCACCCGAGATGTGGCGGATTATTATCACACTCAGGTACTGTAACTAGGTCAGGTGGTGGGCAGCTGTAAGACGCTCCTCTGTGCTGGCTATCAAACAGGTGAGAAACTGCTACAAAGCCTGTCATTAGCAGCCTATTATCAGCTCCGTTTATAAATCCTCCTGTTTTCTAACTCCCAGTTGCTGAGACAGGAAATAACAGGGAATAGCTGGCCCCTCAACAAGCTGGAAATGGATGTTTCTTGTTAAAACCTGAATGTGTGTTGAACCAATAAGACGAGCTGTGTTTCTTTTTTTACTTAAGGTTTTACTTCAAATGCAAATATTTACAAAAAGATGAATTTTAGAGATTTTTCAAATCAAGAAACACCACGATCATACAACAAAAACTGGCAAAGACACAACAGATAAAGCTTTGTCCACAGGGGGCGCCAAAGCCAACACAAGCTGAAAGTTCCTCACAGGAGATTTAACTGTGGAAGGGAAACTTTTGAAAAGCAGTGGGAATTAAAAAGTGTGGGATGGGGTGCAATGGCGGGGCTAGACTTTTTTCACTGGGGGGTCAAACTTGGGCGCTAACCAGTAAGTGCACAAACATCAGACTTAGACAATATCGGTACTTAGATGGTCAACAAAGTTACTGTAAAAAAAAGTGTGCTACTTTGGTGTGTCCTTCTCTTTGGGTTCATTTTCTGCCCCGCCTTCAACACGACCTGATTGGCTGTCTCTCACAGGTCGTCCAATGGAATAAAAGCCTAAAAATAATCTCAGTTAAAGCTCCTGTGAGGAACTTTTGGCTCGGTGCGGCCTTTACTTATCTTATCCTTATCCTGCTGACTGTTAAAGGTGAAATACGTAATTTCTTGTGAATATTTTATGTGAAAATTATAAAAACAGACTCTTCCTTTAATCTCTCAGCTGACACCTACCCCCTCACACCAGTTTCAAGTATCACAATGACAATATACAAAAAATAAACAGTCTTGTTGCTGTTGGTTTTGTTTGTTTTTTGATAAAATAAAGAAAAAACAATGAATTTCAATCTGTTTCATTTATGTGAAAAACCCCTTAGAGTGGCTTTAAAGACTGAATGGAAATCTAAGATATCAAATAAAACGACCTCCACAGACGAGCAAAGGTAAAATATTCCGTTACTATTTGAATTTTAAAAACTGTATGTCTCGAGTTGTGGCCTCCCAGGGCAGCTTTGCCTTGCTTTTCAGAATCATATTATCTGTCACAGATAAGCAGGCAGGAAACTGAGCGACGAAATGTAAAAATGAGGTTTTCGGGGTTTGTCTGGGTCCCCCACGTTCCTCTGGGGCTCCCCCGAGGAAGCAGTGACATTTGGAGAACGACTCGTTGGACAGAGCCAGACTCGGATCTCCGGTATGCTGAAGAGTCACGCTTTGATCATTTTGTACTTTCCTACGCTTGCATGCAAACTTAAACACATCTCCAGACGTACAGTATTACCGGCCGGTCTGAGCAGACAAATCCCCCGTTTCTTTAACCTGTTTGAAGTAGCAGTGAAGCTTCAAAAACCTCTTTAATGAATATATTTCATCAGCGCGGCTTAGATCTGTAAATAAAACTCAGACAGCTTGAACGTTTCGTGATTTCTCGTCATGTGGAAGTTAACGCTTACAGAACCAAGCGTGAAGAGTTAATCCATTCCTGAAGACAATCTAAGGTCACCCACTGAGTCTCTTCCCTCTGTCTGTATCATCCTTGCATTTCTCTGATTCTCTGTCCCCGGTCTGTCACAGCCTCTTGTGGGGCTCTGTGTCAGCGTGC